TTTTTTTGAAAAGAAAAATAATGAGGAGATTGCCTCCTTCATATCTTTTCTTCTCTTATATTGAGGAACTTGCTTTTTCTCAACTAGTAAGATTCACTTTGTCAAGATTACTCAAACTATTCCAAGCAGCAACCAAGTCTTTTACACAAGGTCTTTTGGTTTGCACAGAGAATCCATCATTGTGTAACTTGTTCTTCTTGGATAATGGCAAACATTCTAATTCTAAATTCATCCTTTTTCTCTTACTGTTCTTTTTCTCCAAAGAATCCATGTGTAAAATAATCAATTATCTATTTATTAAAGAAAAGAAAAAAGAGAGTTAATAAATGTCATACCTCTGGGTTGAATTCCTCACCTAAGAAACACAAAAACATTGTTTAAAAATAAAACACTCCCAACGTGTGCTATGTATAAGGTTCTTAGACATTGAAGGTGGTTTACTAGGTTGGCCACCCTAGGGTTAAGTTTTGTCTGAGTCCATTACATATGGTTTCCTAGTAGATCCTATACGATTAGGCTTTTTTAACTGCTAACTTCCATAAGTCAACAATTATTGACTTCCATAAAGTCAACAATTGCCAACTTCTATAGAGTTAACAAGAGGCATTTCATGACCTAATATAGCAGTAGCATTATGGCTGTCATGCCATATTAACCCACAAAATGAACCTAAAAGGGATAAATCTCACTTCACAAAGAAAGCATTGCGCTTTTCATTGCTCCATGAGCTATCCATCTATCTAGAGGTCGGGTTCACCTCGTCAAGGACAAAAATGATATGCAAGTTAGGTGTGTGAGGGAGTATACACATAAAATTAACATATGAAAATAACAAAATATTAAATAAAATAACAAAATAAAAAAAACTTACAAAATACTCCATGCCACCTACAAAACAAAAGTTAGTAATTGAAAAACACCCAAAATTAAAGCATAAATGGCTTGACCCCTCAGTGTCCCCAGTGGAGTCGCCAAACTGTTGACGTGCCAAAATGGATGGAGTCGCCATCTATCCAAATGAGGTGGGATAGATCACCAAGGTTTACGTAGAAATTGATTAGGCTCGAAGGGTTGGTTAAACATGGGGAAGGTGTCAAGCACCCCACAACTTCCATATAATATGGTTACCACATACTTTAATTTTGGAGACTTTTCAATTTTATATCAAAATAATAATTACCAAAAATAATAA